AGACGGATTGTTTCAGCCGACCCGTCCTAATCTGGCGACTGTACGTCATGTGAAGAGATGCGGCAAAGATGCCGAATGTGAGAAAACATTACCCAAGTACAGAGCCGACATAGAAACACTGCAGCAGGAGTTTAAGAAGCGCTTTCCAAGATTTCCACACCATGCAGCCCACGCATCGAGGTTATTCACTACCCCTCTCGGACTTGCAAATCATCGAGCCAGCCCCATGAGTTGCAGCTTTGAAATGTCGACTACAGTCAGACCCCTTCTAGCAACACGCGCCAGGAGACAGGGGAATTTCCTTTAGGAGACTGCCTACCCGAGTCCCCGCCTTTCCACTCCTCAGGATTTTGCGCTCTCAATGGCCCAGCATGTTTGGAAGCACCTTACATCTGGCGAGAGAACTTCCTCTATGACTGAAGCAACAGATCAAGTCAAGGGAGAGAAGACTGACAGATGAGACACACTCGTTCCATCTCTATGCAAATCGGATGTACAAATGTTGATATTGACATCAGCTCTATTGTGCAGCAGCCGGAGACGGCCACAAGTTCTCATTAAGATGTATAGCTTACTGATCAGCTGTGGGTGAAGTTCAGAAAAATGCATATGTTCTTGGTTTTATGTATGGAATGTGAAGGGAAGCATAGAAACACCAAATACAAAGATGAATATTCGTTGGTTAACTCAGTGGTTGTGGTCGTTTGGTACAATAAACATTTATTGCCTATATATATTTAGTTATTTCATTCAATCCTAGTAGGCTAAAGTTGGCTATTTAAATGTTGTGGATATTAGTATAGCTCGCCGATGGAAGTGAATGGTCACGAGTGGCCCTCTGGATAGTGCGGACATTTTTTTTTGCCCTCACTATCCTCAAAGTTGCCCATCCCTGAATACCATATGATCAGCTTTGTCACATGACTGGCAATGACAAAAACTGGTCCATAGAATACCTTATGGTACTAATTACATAAAGACAATAAAGATCCAATGACAACTCAAAGTACATTGACCTTTCGCAAGCCACGCCCCCCCTTGGTTACTGTTGCTAGTCCGACAAGGCTGAGAGCCAGATGCGTTAAACAAGAGCCATAATGGAGGGTCTCCGTAACGTCGGAGTCGCCTTAACAGACTCATTTTGGATCAATAGCGCAGCAATATCCTCCAGGTCCACAAAAGGGGTTACAATACGCTATGGAGGGTTATATCCACAGTATAAACATTAGACAAAGAGGGAGGCACAAACATCAATAGAGGCATTGCATACAGGTCGCAGTGGGCAAGAGTGAAAAACCACATGAGCTGTATGTCAATTCGACGAATTATTAATTATTATTTTGGAATAACACAATACAATCACAAGAGGCATTAATGTTGCTAGCTTTGTCTAAAGTTAACTACCGTTTCCTTGGTGGCTTTCTGCAATCCACCCTTGTGTTCCTTTGTGGGGGTCGGGGTGCCCACTTGTGGCAGCAGGATTAGGGAAGTCGGCAGTAGGCTTTCCATTAAACAAAATGCTACAGAAGATTAACGCAAAGATATAAATGAATGATTGCTGTTGGCTTTTCTTTGTTTGTACTTTGACCACAGGTAGACCTAAGTAACGGAGCTCAGCTGTTCTCGACATTATTATATGCATCAAGTGATATACATGGCTCCCAAAAGAACGACCTAGAAGCCACACAGCTTAAGCTGTAATCGTGTGACTTTAGCTAACGTTAGTTAGTGAAATTAGTTAATTGAATTAGTTAATTTGTGAATGTAATCTTTGCTAGCTAGCTAGCTACGTTAGCACGTATTTACCTTGGAGCAAACGTATTTGTGTTTGTTGATATTCGCCATATTCAGCTGGGCATGGGGCCTGCCGCATTTCTTTATCCACTGGCGGCATCTCTCCTCTCGGGTTTTGGGTTTAGGAAACGGGTAAAATATCACCCCCCCCTCTAAGCTTATGGGATATCTGCTATCCGATTTGCAAAGACCATAAGCACAACGCTTCACCATTTTCGCAATGAATTTGAACGCTAAGCTTGTCGGACTTCCACAGGGAGCCGCGCACGTGATCGAATATGATTGGACAACGGGCATTTAGGGGCGTGGCTTTGCGAAAGGTCAATTCTTTACTTATCTCCAATAAAGCCGATTTTTGGATTTTAGAGCGCTGATGTTTCAAACACATCTTAGATCCGGGAACACAGAAGATCTTTACAATCACCACAGTTGCTACGTGTGCACCCAATTTGAGTGTCACCAATTCAGTATCCGACCAAATGTGAAATATGTTCACAATCTCTTCATGATTTCACAGAAAAAGGTGACCGTAGACCTTTTCATGTTACTCTATTTATTAGAAATGTTCTCATAATTAGCATATGAAGTATTGGATAAAGGCCAAAACATATCTGTGAGGTCAGTCACCTTGACCTGCAAACACCAAATTCGAATCAGTTCATTTATGACCCAAATGGATGCAAAATCTAAAGAAATTCCCTCAAGGTTTTTTTATTTTAATTTTATTTTTAAATATCACATTATAGACCATTTGACAGACAGTAGGACGCGGACATAGGGGCATAATCAACAGAAAAATTTCTTGTGCAATAACAAAAAGAAATGGCTCGAAAGGTCAAAATTGAACATGACTCCAAACAATAAACCAGAACATGAATGAATTTAGAAATCCTCTGCTAATGTTAATGCTAAGGCAATATTTAAGCCCTCACCATTCACCCTTAATTCCAGTCCGTCCCGTCCCTGTCATTTGTTCCCTCTTTTTAGACCGTCATCACTTGTCCCTGCAAGGCCTCACTGGTCGCCAAACTCACCGAATGACGATTTAATTGTGAAGGGTTATCTTTCTAAATTTGCCACTCCCCAAACCCTAGGGGAGCTTTTAGTCCTTCAGGAATCTGATAGCTAAATAAAAACATTAACCAGTTCGAAATGCAATAAAATACAATACACACGCTGCTTTGTGTTGCTGCTTGCTGTGCCGTTTAGAGTGGTGGATTCAATTCAGACAAAGTAGCTAAAAATGCACAGGTGAGTGAGAAAGAGACGCAAGGTAAATAGGCTGCCATTGCTTATTGTATGTAAACATATTTATATGTGCGAGTGTGCTTTTATTAACTGTGAATGTGTGTCATTTTGAATTGGCACAATTGTTTTCATTTGGATTCCTGCTTCCTCAGCATTATTGCAGTTTACTTTCTAACAATGCAACCTGCATGCCCTTTTTATGTTTCATTCTTTCCTTATTTCCTTTTCCCTTCAGTCTTTGCTTATGTACTTGCATTCACTTCTCTTGCCAACCCCAGAAGACCTTGTCTCCCCTCCCACACCCTTTCCTCCCTCATTGTCCTCTCCAACACAGTCGTGGTCCTCTAGTCTAGAGAATTATCTTGGTTCAGTAGGAAGCTCGGACCGAAAGCTGACGACAACAGCTTAAAAATATGACATTTCTTAACATTGTATATTTTCTAGGACAAAAAAATAATGTTTTTACCTATCCTATAATTTCCTACCGTTTGCTATGAACAACACACCAGAGGGAAGCATGACTTGGAAGCCCTGGAGCATTTAAAAAGCTGAACACACCGACAAAAGTTAATCCACCCCAATGACTACGACAAAGAAAGCGACAAGACCTAATTAGGAAATCTCAGTATTCCTCGTTGATGCTCGGTTAGGGTTGATCAGTCTGGATGAGGACAATCAATAAAGCCCATTTTAAAGCTCTCCCCACAGAAAGAATATATTGTAGAGAGAA